CGACGGGGGCGAGCGCGCAGCCCCGCGCACGGCCGGTGGGGCTGGGCTGTGGCGCCGAGGAGCTTCTGGGTCTCCTGTAGTCTGCTAGACTTTTCTGAGTCTCAGCTCCTCCTTCTGTCCAACTTTTCCTTTCCTCGTGCTCTCACCGGCTCGGCTCTGCTCTTTTAGAAAACCCGTTCTACAAAAAATGCAAACAGTGCATTCAAAAAGAAAAACAATAAACAATCAACCCATGCGTCTATAAAAAGAGTAAAAACACATTTCTGTGAAATACTTTTGAAATGATATCCAGCAGGGATGGTTTAGGGACAGAGAATATCTTTACCTGAGAGGACCAATGCTAGTGAAATTCACCGAAGGTGTATTTCCTGTTTACCTAGCTCAGATTTTCTTCGCAGTAAATACTATGAATAGGCACATTTGAATGCATTGCTTTTGAACTTTTTAACCCTGGTGAGGCAGATCGCAAAGCAAAGCATGTCCTTCCTACTAATTCGCAGGATTCTGTTGATATGTGTAATTGACAATTTAGAATGCATAACTTGGTGCTGTCTTTAGCTAGAGACCTAAATACTGATTTGTAAATATATGCCGCAAGGTTACAGTGCTGCGTGCACATAGTTTTAAAATTATTTCCACACAGTTGGATTCCGTATCATAACCCTAGGACTGATTTAACCCTCAGTGGATAAAGGGATTCTTTATTTTTGAAGTGGAATATCCTGAAGTCGATAGTATACCTATATTACTAGAATAAGTCGTCTTATTTTAAACTGCTAGGTCATCCGGGGTACATCGTTTCCTTTGTAGAGACCCCGTGGTAAAGCTTACAATAAATATTAGGTAGGTAAGCATTCATTAGTTGAATCATGTTGACCTGATTCATAGGACAGTTAGTTTAACCAGGACTATATTTACCATGAGTTGAGACAAACAGAAATGTGCAGTGTTCACGTGGCTTTTGTTTTTGCGTATGTCGATTTGTCTGCTTTCTAGATAAGAAATAATTGCACTGTCGATTTGAAAATATTGAACATGTGCTGTACGCGCCAAGTGGCACACTAACGAGGCCCATTCGGATTGTGCCTCCCTCCCATTTCCTACCATCCAGTCAGCCCCTGGTAGAAGATGACCTGCCACGCAGCTCTCTGCTTTCGCATTTAGTGTGTGAACAAACTGCTGTGTGGGAGGAGCAGTGAGTAATTCATCTTTATGCTGCTTCCATGCTCTAATTGCCTAAGTGCAGTAGTGCAGAAGGTCTCTCTAACGACCCTCTTATGTTTCATTTCAGTGTTAAGTATTAAGAGAACGAATTCTGAAAGTAACTTGTAGGTGTTTGTTTATGCTGCTCTTGGCCAGTTGCTACCCTCCCCATTGTGTTTCTACAACAAAAAGCTTTGATTCCACTTGGATATTTATTTTTCTTACCCAGATGTCTGAGCATTTTCCTTGCATCCAAAATGAACACCATGAGGTTTTGATTTTTCTCTTTGTTCCTTGGACCATCTCTCAGCTCATTAGCAGGTGAATCAGAACATTTTTACTTGTCACTTATTAAGAGCTCACCATGAGTTTTGGAAAAAAACAAATTACATCCAAGGACATTTCTTCACCCTTACTGAAGGATGTGAATTTAAATTTGTACTCTTTAAAATGTTTTTTTTGTTTGTTTGTTTGGTTGTTTGTTTTTGCTGTTTCAGCTACCAAGAACAGAAAAGGTAAGCAATTCAGGTTGCATTTACAGTACTTGTGCACGCATTGCTCCAGGAATTGCTCAACTAGTAAAAAGAGGGAGGAGCAGGAGAGGCTGCTGTGTTATTGTACAGGGCACCGCAGGAGGCACTGTTAGAACCTGCTGGTTGGAACTGTCTCTGTCTTCTGAATAACCTCTGCGGTAAGCAGAGGAAGAAGTGGTTTGAGGGAGAAGTGCCCAAGAGAAATCTCTGAGAACTAAATGTCCCTCTTGAGTGGCGACTTTTAATATTCAGAATGTGATTTCCTTTTTTACTCAAGCATTTTCCAATTCCTACTTCTTCCCCTGTCCTTACCTTGCTCAGAGCCTTCAGGAAAAAAGAGTTTTAAGTAAAGATGTGAAATTCAGTCCTTAGATTCCACGTGTAAATGTCATTTTTGACACTTATGGTTTGGGTCTGAAATGTCCCTAAAAGTTCATCTATTGAAAGTTGGTCCCCAGTGCAACATTGCTGAGGTGGGGCTCTGGGGACATGATTGGATTGTGAGGTCGTGGAAAATAGCTGGGGCCTCGCTGGAGGAAGTCGGACACTGGGGCAGCCCTGGACGGGTGCATCTTGTGCCCCATGCCCTTCTCTCGCTCCCTCTGGTCCCTGACCTGAGCCACTTCTGTCCAGCACAGGCTCTCTGCTGTGACATCTGCCTCTCCATGGACCCAGAAGTGGAAGACCGAGGTGAACAAGGACAGAAACCTCTGAAATTATGAGCCAAAATGAATCTTTCCTCTTATAAATTGATTTCCTCAGGTATTTTGTCACATTGATAGAAAGTGTACTAATGTAGACTCCAGGACCAGAACAAAGAGGTGGGAAAATGTGGGAATCTCAGAGCAGCTCAGCTCAGTCTGAATGAAGACCAGAGACAACTATTAAATTTAATTTACTTAAAATTTATGAGTTTTCTTTATCATTTTCTATAGGCAGGCCAGACTCATAGCAGTCTAACTAATCACTGGTAAATACTTGGGCCTCCTTATGTATGCCTTAATTCAGAAATGGCTTTACCAGTCCCTCCAGTGTGGATGCCCATGTTTTACATAAGTAGCAGTCACTGCTGAGGAGCCCAGCACCATTCTGACTCCAGATCCTTTTAATATGGCTTGGTCCACATCTCTGAAAGGTGTGGGGTCTTCTCTCTTTACCTTGTGCTTATTCATTTTCTTGATTTACCCTCAGTGCACATTTCAATCTGTGACTCCTTTGAATTTGAAAAGTTCTATGAATTTATTCCTTTTAAAGTGCTCTGCCTTCCATTTTCCTGTGAAGTCCTTTCCTGGAGCTTCCTTATGTTAGGTTTTGACCACCAGGATGGAATCTCAAATTTTCATTTCTCTCTTATTCTCCATCTCTGTTATCCCTAATTCTTAGATTCTAATTTTGAGTTTTTTCCTTGACATTGTCTTCTGACCCTTCTATGAAAATACAACAATTTTAGCTCTTGAAGCCCTAAGAACTCTTCAAGCTTTTTGGTTTATTGACTGTTTTGTTTCTAATTTCACTGATACACAGTCATTTATTTTTCTCACCATATTAGTTATTTATTTTAAACTCTCCCTCCCATTTCTGTCCTGTTTCTTTTTCTCTAGTAATGTTCTTATTGTTTAGTTGTTGTTCTTCATATTGGTGGTTTTTTCTCCAGGGCCATGCTGATGGCTGGGCTTTCCTCTTATGAGCATTATACTATTGATTAGAAACCTGACGTGTATAGAAATTGACTGAGCTGTACTTGTAGTTGTAAAATCCCAAATGTCTATATCAATAGCCTTTTTCTCTGGAGTGCTTCATGTCATTTCAGAGAGAAGCTAACCTATCACTAGGGATATGAAGCAATCACAGAAGCCCATTTGCTTCTAATGAGCCCTCCCATTTTTAACATAGGAAGACTCACTTTGCCTCCCTCCCATCCTTCCCTTTGGATCTGGTTCTAGGGTACAAAACCTTTCTAGCTTAACATTTCAGGGGAAAATCTATCATTTTCAAGTTCAGGGAAGGGTGAGCACTGAGCTAAAAGATGTGTGGGTAGAGATGTGAATTTCAGGATACTTGAAGAATTTCACTGGGAGACAGAGTGAGATGGCAGCCAGGAT